ATCCTTCTATTGGAAATCATATAATAAAAACCAGTATGGAAAGAAAATAAAGCTCTGTCTAGTTCCTTTGATTAACCAGAATCCTTCTTCCCTTCAGTTTATATACATGCAGGGTAAGATTTTCTTGAACTATGAAAACCTCAAACCAAGTTTTTGTAGGCCAGTAGACTTCATGTGAGGAGTCCTGGTGGCACAAATGGTTAAGTATTCTGGCTGCTAACCAAGAGGCTGGAGGTTTGAATCCACCCTCTGCAGGAGAAAGGCCTGGTGATCTGCTACTGTAAAGATTATACCCAAGAAGATCTTATGAGGCAATTCTGCTCCACTGTCACATGGGGTCACTATGAGTCAGAATCGACTTGATGGCACCCGACAAGAACAGACTTCAGGTGGCATACTATTACGCTTGGAACTGTACGATAATAACCTAATCTTGTACACCTTTCTGAATTTTTGCTGTTGACTGCATTCCTTTTTTCAGTCAAATCAGTGTTGTTCCCAGTTAGAACTTCAAATTACATCTGGTGTAGTTTGTACACACCAGGGGATATATTTACGTGATACTTTAGCCAGCCAAGATATTTCTCATGACTTCAACATAACATTTTCCATAGAGTGCTTATTGATGAGAAGTTATGAAAATTGTGCAAGAACGTAAATAAGAGAAGTGGTCGCGCATCTCGAGAGACACCTCACCAAAAAAAGATTTCTTAAATGTCTTTTTCATTTATAGATGTTTGTCTTTTATGGGGCAGAAAAATATTCTTCTCCTTGTCTTGGGCTGTTCTTTTGTATATTCTTGCTTAGCGTAGATCACTTATGTAGGCTGGTGGAAGGTGAAAATAATCTTACAAATTGAGATAGCTCATTAAATTTCAATAAGGTAATTAAGGAAACTCATTTCCAAAGATACACATTTATTTCAGTAGCTTGAATGTTGCTTAATCGGAAAATGACCGGAATACTAAATATAGGTTGCTTGGGCTTGTCTAGATCAGCAGCTTTGAGAGTCAAGGCTGTTGAAAGGAATGGTATGGGGTTAAAACAGCAGAGGTCCTCGCTGTGGGTTGAAACTAATTGGCTGAAAACATGAATAAGTTATACTTGCTATTTATGCCAAGAAAAACCTAAGAGAGAAAGGGCGAATATTTGTTATCTACAAAGGCATGATACTCTGCCACATGATACTGGAAAATAAAAAGCAACTTTTTGGACTTAAGCTCTTCTTCCCACAACATTTAAGAGAAATAGAAGCTCAATTACTTGGAAATGTTTCCTTCTGGATATTATAAAATGTTCTAGATCTGGCATTTTTAGCCAATAAAATGTTTCTAAGAATGCTATGGAGACATTTTGTAATGTAAAATGTTTATTTCTGGGACCACTGCCCTTGAGCCTAGGGGTTATGTTAAAATGCTTTCTATTAAAAGCCTCTAATTTTCAAGGCTAGGTAGTTTTTTCTCTCTTTTCATGTGTGTCTCTGTATTGTATCTGGGTATCCGTAGACGAGACACATTGGCCAAATATTGACTAAGTCCTATTCCTAAGACTAAAGATTCAGGTATAATGTCAGACTTCAATTTGATGAGATTCGACATTGTAGAATAAATTTTTGGAAAGAAAGATTTGGAAAATATTATAAATAAATTTTTGGAAAGAATAAAATATTTGGAAAGAAACCCCATTGAGTTTTTTTTCCAAGTATTTTCCAAAATTTCCATAAGACCAGAACTGTGCTTCATAGGGTTTTTAATGGCTGATTTTTTCAGAAGTAGATTGCCAGGCCTTTCTTCTGAGGTGCCTCTGGGTAGACTTGAACTTCCAACCGTTCGGTTAGCAGCCGAGCACATTAACTGCTTGCAAAAACCAGGGTCTCGGCTAAACTATAAGCTCCATTAAAGTGGTCTATATCCATTTTTTGGTCTCTCCTTCACTCTCCATAGACTCTAACACAACAAGTCCATAACAGGTGCTTAATTAAATAGGTTGCATTGCTTGGAAGTCCATCAAGAAGTTGAAGTTAATCATAATTTATGCCTTTTACACTGAGTTGAAAAGTTAGCTGTGGACAACTCGCTGGTCTAAGTGAAAATCCTGAGTTTGAGTCTCAGCACTGCTGCTTAATTTATACTTCGTGATCTTGGGCATGTGATACAAGTTCTGTGCCTTTATCAGTAATTAATGGTTAACGTGCTTGGCTGCTAACTGAAAGGTCGGAGGTTCGAGTTCACCCAGCGGTGCCTCGGAAGAAAGCACTGGTGATCTGCTTCTGAAAAGTCAGCCACTGAAAATCGTGTGGAGCACAATTTTAATCTGATACAGGTGGGGTGGCCATGAGTCAGAGTGGACTCAATGGCAACTGGTTACTTTGTTAAGTTCTCTTTTTGCCCAAATATTCTAAGACAGCTTGATCTATAGTAGTGGTTCTTAAAGTGTGGTCCCCAGATTAAGAATATCAGCATCCCCAGAAAACTTGTTAAAAATGCAAGTTATCAGGTCCCTCTCCAGACCTACTGAATCACAGGTGATTCCAAACAATAACAACAAAAAAAACCATTGCTGTTGAGCCCATTCCGATTCATTGTGATCTTATAGTACAGACTAGAACCACTCCATAGGGTTTCCAAGGAGCGGCAGGTGGATTTGAACTGCCGACCTTTTGGTTAGCAGCCGTAGCACACCATAGCTCTTAACCACAGTGCCACCAGGGCCCCCAGTAATTCTGGTGCACACTAAAGTTTGAGAACTTCTCATCGGCGGTATGGCCAAATCCCTGTATGGTGAGAAGCTCTGTACAACAACGTTAGAAGACAATGAAGTTTGTGCAGCATTTCATGGGTTGGCGTTTAAGTTCAGTATCTAGTGTTTTGTCTTTTGAGCTCTGCAGAATGGCTCACCGTTGCATCATGTCCAGGTTTGCAGGTGCTGCTGTTAGAATTGCCGTTCCCAAGCTCCTGTTAAGTGCTGGCAGTTGAGGAGTGAAAAGTCTTTCTTAGGGTGAACAAAGAATATGTAATGGACAAGGGATTAATTTTCAGCAGCAGCCTCCTAATTTTGTATTCGTCACGTTGTATGCATCCTAGGCTACACATGCCACGTCTGCTGATCTACATTAGGTAATTGGACATCCAGCAGCCCCATTTGCATGCAAAGGTGGTTGTACACCTCACATTTACAAGTCTAAAATTAAAGCCCAGTTTGAAGCTGGCTGAAGACGCACTGCTAGGAAAATAATGAAATAAGGAGGAAATGGTTTCTGTTAATCAGCACTTTTGGCCTCTACCGTTCAGTCTTTGCTAATTTGGTCTTTGAAATTGTACATTCTGCATTGAAGAGAGACTTCTAAGGGCATCTGATTTTTTTCCAAAAAACCTACATTTGAAAACTGATTGTGTTTATCCACAGCGTTTCCCTAAAACTGTACCCACATGCATGCTGTATTCTGTTGCTGAGCTATATATTTGCTCTTCTATTCATGCGACTTGTGGGGCCACATGGATCATCTCAGAGAAGAATCAGCCCCCACCGCAGACTAATAGACTAGTTTCATTCAATTCAGCCCATATTTATCAAGCAACTACTTCGTGCCAGGCACTGTGCCAGGTGCAGGGCATGCAAAGATCAATCAAGCACAGTTCCTGCCCTCACAAGTCCACGGTATTTTAACTGCTTCCCAGAACCTTATTAGGGTAGACTGTTTTGGTTTAAAGGAAGCCTTCTTTATATAGCATTCCCTGATTCCCCAGTTTGAGCTCCTGTTAATGTTCAACTGTGTCCCCAGGCAAATGAGTGGCCCAGTGGACCCATGATTAGAAAAGTCAAACCCTAAGGGCACAAGCCAACACCCATCTGTCAGTTATCGTACTGTGGTGACTTACATGTTGCTATGATGCTGGAAACTATGCCACCAGTATTTCAGATACCAGCAGAGTCACCCATGGTGGAGAGGTTTCAGTGGAGATTCCAGACTAAGACAGACTAGGAAGAAAGATCTGGCAATCTGCTTCCAAAAATTAACCATTGAAAACCTTATGGATCACAAAAGATCATTGTCTGACTCGCTTGCTTTGGACACATCATCAGGAGGGATCAATCGCGGGAGGAGGACATCCTATTTGGTGAAGTAGAGGGCCAGCGAGGGTGAGCAAGACCCTTGGTGAGATGGATTGACTATTGGTGAGCATGAGGATGGTGGAGGACTAGGCAGTGTTTTCTTCTCTTGTATATGGGGTAGCCATGAGTTGGAGTTGACTTGATGATAGCTGTCTATCTAAGGGCACAAGACTGTGGCCAGCTGGCTACTCAGAGGGTGTTCAAGAGGAGGTGGCTGTATTGCAGATGGCCTGCACTCCCAGAGTTAATGGGAGTAAAGGATACATGAGTGTTTCCTCTACTCTGGAAGTGATGTAGGTCACATGCATGAGAGTGCCAGTCTAAAGCCATCTTAAAGGGACTTGCACATGAGGGCCAGCAAGAGGCTCAGTGGAGTCCTACAAAGACAGTCTACCAAGAGCCAACGTGAAGCAGTCACTTGTCACTCTTCTTTGATTGCTTTATATTTCTGTACTTGGCAATATGCGTTTGTTTTATGTTGACAATTACATCATAAGCTCCTGGAGGACAGATGCATGGTTGGGTCTTACTCTTCTTATCTTCCATGGTACCTATTTGATGGTGGTGATGATAAGGCGAGTATATTAGAAGGAAGAATACCTGATGGTTTATATGAATTAGTAGAGTCCCTGGGTGGTGCAAATGGTTAATGTGCTTGGCTGCTAACTGAAAGGTTGGAGGTTCAAGTTCACCCAGAGACACCTCAAAAGAAAGGCCTGGTGATCAACTTCCAAAAAACCAGCCACTGAAAACCTTATGAAACACAGTTCTGCTCTCACACACATAGGGTTGCCATGAGTCAGAATCGAAACCAGTCAAATAGGCTTGTTTGGCTATATGAATTAGTATTTTCTCACGAAATAAGCATTTTCTTCTCTTCATTCTAGCACAGGCGCATACACCTTGATAACACCAAATGAAAATCGAAGAAGCCAGTTACGAAGGAGTACGTATATTTATTCATTTACCATTCAGAATGTTCCGCATCTTCTTAAGGAGTACAGTTTGTTTTGGTGTGAAATATTTTTAGTTTCTCATTTGTATAGACTCACCAGATCTTACCACGGTTTTTTTTTTTTTCCCCTTTTAACTTTAGTAGCATTATTTACACCTTTAAAAATTATTATGTTGTTAATACTTCTATATTTGTTTCTCTACATTACTAACAGGAGCCCTGGTGGCACAGTGGTTAAGCACTTGGCTGCTAACCGAAGGTCAGCAGTTTGAACCCCCCAGCTGCTCTGTGGGAGAAAGATGTGGCAGTCTGCTTCCGTAAAGATTTACAGCCTTGGAAACCCTATGGGGCAGTTCTACCCTGGCACATGGGATTGCTATGAGTTGGAATCAACTTGACGGCATCTAACAACAACAACACATTACTAACAGAACTCAGCTTAAATAATTTCACGCCTGTTTCTGAAATACCTATCTTGTCCCTATAAAGTTGGGCTGACTGCTGATATTTTTCATGGGACCATGAATACTTTTGAAGCAGACTAGTTCTATACTAAATAGATCGTGAAATAATTTGTCCCTTCCTTGATCTACCCTATCCCTCCTCTATGGAATTATGTAGCCTCTGTGCTCCCATAATTTTCTAAGAGTCTATCCTCAGCTGTTTTTATTTGCATACTTCAATTTCCTTCTCTAGATTATAAGCTCCATGAGGGCAGGGACCATGTCTTTCCGTTTTTGTGCCTCTTGTACTTAGTGGGTGTATAACCAAAACCCCATTGCTGTCAAGTTGATTCTGACTCATAGTGACCCTACAGGACAGAGTAGAACTGCCGCAGAGGGTTTTCAAGGAGCGGCTGCTGGATTCGAACCGTGGACCTTTTGGTTAGCAGCTGTAGTGCTTAACCACTGTACCACCAGGGCTCCAGTAGGTGTATACTGTGTTTAATTAAAGTTGTGCAGTAGATATAAATGCTGCCATTTAAAGGCATAGCATGATATTTTAGAGCTGGAAGGAGAACTAAAGCTCTTTAATTCACAAAGAAATTGTGAGGATTGTTAAGTCGGACACCCAGCTGTGGGGCTAGTACTGATTCTATGCTCTCCTTCTTTATGAGGTTGTTGGTGGGAAATTTAATGTTGTCATTCATGATGGACATTGGGGCACAACAGAAAAGAGTCCGCACCAGACAGGTGGTCCCCACTTTAGGGGTTACAGTTGGCTCAGTACAGGACCCCAAAGGTTCTGGCATCTTAGAAGCTTTCGATTTAAATATTTTACAGAAATTCAAGGCTCGGTGTTGTCAGTTTGGACTTGGAGATGTTTCAGAAATAAAAACCATAATTTAAAAATGTTATAAATGGACAGTTTTGACCAGGCAGTCAGTTCTAATGTGAAGATTAGGGCATGCAGGGGAAGAACAGAACAGTAACTCTCTGGTGCCCCCTGCTGTCCCTCAGAGTGAATATTTGCAGAATGTGCATTGCTTTGCAGGGGAGCAGGCTCTGCCGAGGGTCTCAAAATGCTCCCAGCACAGACCCTTCATGCCTCGTAGTTTCAGTCAGCTTGGGAGAACATTTAAAGCAAAGTCAAATCAGCATCAGAATTTTGTAGGGATACATGTTTAACCTGTATGTGAAAACTTCTTATTGACACATTGATATTTTAGTTTCGTACAATTTTTCTATAGGAAACCTTCCAAATTAATTTGGTTTGAAGAATACCAAAATAGGAGGAAAACTAAACTTTGATTTAACATGGTCGACTGCTAACTGAAAGATTGGAAGTTTGAGTCCACCAAGAGGCACCTTGGAAAACAGGCCTGGTGCTCTCCTTTTGAAAAATCAGCCACTGGAAATGCTATGGAGTACAATTCTCTGACACACATGGGGTTTCTGTGAGTTAGAGTTGACTTGAGGGCAACTGGTTTGGTTTGGTTTTCGTTTGGTTTTTCAAATTTGAAGCCTCTGCAGACTTGTGGGGTGAAAGGGACACAGGGGCGGGCCAGGGGACCCTGGGAGGTTAGGACTGAATGGCGGTCTTTCTGGCCTAGGTGTCATGCCTAATTATGCCCATGTGTAGTTAATTGGCCTTTAATGGTTGTCTCTTTCTTACGCTCCGAAGGAACCAGTTTCCTTTTCAACTTCTAATAACTGATGATTTGATATTTCTCATTCTGGTCTAGTTGCTGAGAAAGAGTTGGAAGACCTGGAGAAATGGAAGGAGCAGAACAGAGCTAAACCAGTTAACCTGGTGCCAAGACAGCTAGGTAAGCAAGCAAACCAGTTCCCTGAATGGGAGGGCAGGGCCACCCCTGGATCCTGTTAGCACCTTGCACGTGGCTGTCTTTGAATGCGCATTATAGGTTGTTTAGTCACTGTGCTGCTTGGGATAGAACGCATTTAAAGCTGACAGTGTGCAGGTATATTGTTGCTTCTGATTTTCTGCAAGTAGCAAGCATATGATGCCACAGTTATCTGGGAATAAAGTGATGGCTTAATCGCCAAATAATTGAGAGCCCCTGAGATGCTCAACTCAGAAGGAAGCTTACCTGGGGCGCTGTGTATGCCCTGTTAGAGCGCTCTTCAGGATGGGAGTAAAAATGATCACACACATATTAATCATGGCAGTGAAAGGCTAATGTGAAAAAAATAGGAATGGAGAGGCCATTCCAAACCTGCAGTGAGGGTGAGCGGGGGACCCAGTGGTGGGTATAAAGGAAAAAGTCACCTGTGTTTTTGTTTTTAAAGATGGAGACCTTTGGGCCTCTGGAGCGCGTGCTGCTGGGGTGATGAATGATCCAGACTGCCTCTGCGGGGTGTTTGAATCATTCAGAGCGGACGCTACCGAGTGGGAATCAGTCATGTCATGTCTTCCTTTTCTGTCTTAGCAGCTGAGGGCTTCAAGGGCTGGACACATGGTCCACAGATGTAGTTAACACAAATGGGTCTAGAGGCAGGGGCCACCTACTATCACGGTAGTTTCAGAGAAGCACCTCTTTTTCCCCCAGAATATAATTTTAAAATAAGCTAATTTGGAAATCACCTCATGAGTGAAGAGTAAGAGTGCTATGACAGCCATCCCACCTCATCTCACTGGAGGAGGGAACCTGAAGTGTCATTTTTATGCCGAACAAGCTGACAATCGGGAAATAGAGTTTTTCTTTCCCAACTGGTCTCTTCATACTGGCTACGTGGCTCTTCACCCTGCTCTTTGGGTGAAGTTAGAGCAGAATCCCCCGATCTGTTTTGGTTTTTCTCAAATAGTAAAGTGGACCAGCGAATTCTAGGCTGAAACCGTCTCATTTCAGTAATTAATGCTAGGTTCTGGTTAAATCTCCATTACTAACAGAATCGTAAAGCTTCTCCCTTGCTCTAGCCCAGGCCCTTTTCAGTAGGAAGCTAGCAAGAGGAAGGGGTGTGGCTAGATTTTTCTCTGTTGATTCCTCCGCCCACAGGGCCAAAGGGCAAAGGGGAAGTGGGAGAGGCAAGGATCTGTAGTGCACTGGCCCTAGTTCTTCATGCCTTGGAGCATGCTTACTGCTCACTCTCTCTCAGGGTTCTTTGAATTCTTCAGATTTCCCACTTACCCATCTCTGACCTGCATTTCCCTATAGAGATGATACCTTTTCTTCAGGCAGCTTTTTCTTTTCTTTAAAAAAAAAATCTTTTAATTTTCATTCAATGAATACTTATTGAGCACTTCCAGCAAGACAGAGTCCTTGCCCTCATGGAGCTTAAAACCAGTTGCTGTCAAGTTGACTCTGACTCATGGCGACCTCATGTGTGTCAGAGGAGAACTGTGCTCCACAGGGTTTTCAGTGGCTGATTTTTCGGAAGTAGATTACCAGCCCTTTCTTCCGAGGTGCCTCTGGGTGGACTTGAACCTCTCGGACATGTTAACCATTTGTACCACCCAGGTATTCCTTCGTGGAGCTTACATTCTAATAATAACTATCACTCTTATTTACTAAGCCAAGCACTTTACGTACACTTCCTCATTTAAACTGTTGCCAGCCCTATGGGTGCCAGCCCTATGGTTATTAGTTTCATCCACCTTATAAACGGGGATACTGGGACTCAGATGATTAGCTTGTCCTGCTGCCAGTTCTTGATGTCACCATTGGTTCTCGGTAGATTGTCTTTGTAGGGCTCCATTGTTCTTCTAGGTAGCCCTTACGAGCAAGTCCCTTTAAGATGGCTTTAGATTGGCATTCTCTTCTGTGTGACTTACCCTAGAATATAAAAAACACTCATGCATTTTTTATTTCCATAAACTGTGGGAGTGCAGGCCATCTGCATGACGGTACCTCCTCCTGATCACCCATCTGAGTAGCCAACTGGCTAGCAAACCAAACCAAACCCATTGCCAAAGAGTTTATTCCGACTCATAGCAATCCTATAGGACAGAATAGAACTGCCCCATATGGTTTCCAAGGAGCACCTGGTGGATTCGAGCTGCCGACCTTTTGGTTAGCAGCCTTAGCTCTTAACCACTACGCCACCAGCGTTTCCCAACTGGCCACAGTCTCACGCTTTTACGTTTTGACTTGTCCAGGCATGGGTAACACTGAGTCCCTTGTTCTCCTGGGGACACAGGTTGTGCTCTCCAAGTACTTTTCATTAAACCTCTCTTGCTTGTATTGAAGTGAAGATCTGCTTTCTACACACACACACACACACACACACACACACACACAAACGTTGGAATTCACAGAGACATCCTCATCATCCTCATATTTCTGCCTCGCTTTGAGCTGTCCAGAATCTCTGGGTGGTGCAAATAGCTAATGCACTCAGCTGTTAACTGAAAGTTCGAGGTTCGAGGTTCGAGTCCACTCAGAGGCACCTCAGAAGAAAGGCCTGGCTTTCTTTTACTTCTGAAAAATCAGGCATTTTGAAAACCCTATGGAGTACATTTCTACTCTGGCACACATGGGGTTGCCATGAGCTGGAGTCAACTCAATGGCAACTAGGTTTTGACCTAGCTAATTCTTTGTATAGGCTGAAGGTGGCTTGTTAGTTAAGGTTGACTAAACTAGATCTCAGTTACCTCTTTCGTAGATCCTGCTTAGGGAACCAAAACTCTCATTTTGGAATTTGGAGCTGTTGGCATCTGTTGTCTGGGGGCCTCAGTCATAATAAGACGGGAGTCTCATTGCAACTTGCTGTTATAGGAAGTATCTAGGAATGGTCAAGCATGTAGGTGAGAAAAGGTGCTAGGGAGTAATAAAGAAAATTCTAGAATGTATTAAACTTTGAGATGAGTTGCAACAAAACCTGCAAATTTTTAGACATCTGGCTTTCTCCATTTCTTCTAATATCAACTCCTCCCTACTCCTCAATCCCTTAAACTCTTAGAAAGATTCTAAGAGATACTGAAAGTGACTGTAACATTTGATAAAAGCTTCCATAATCCTCACTGCTTCTCTCCCATTCCCCCACCTCCCTGCAACAGAGACTACAGGGCCCCAACCAGACAGGCCTTATATATGTTTTGGAAATCAAAGGAAAGTCCCTGTGGTATCTTTACCAGTTCAATTATAAAAACTACAGTGAATGCAAATTATTTTAATGCATCTTCTGTGAGAGTGAATCTTTCAGATAACTGACACTTTTAGTGACCCAAGCACCAGAGGATTATTTTAAAGGAATCTTTCTAATATGCACACCAAGCTTGCAGAAACACTGAGAAAAATCCCTGAGCAATAATTCTTAGATGATTGTCAAGCTGTGAGGATTTCTGCCCTCAAATTATTTTAGGTTCCAAAGCAAGCAAGCAAATCATCTAACATCCATATTTTTGTCTCGACTACCTAAAGAAAGAACGATAAATAGCATGGATTTATAGTGAATTACTAACTAGACAGTTTTCATTGTACTCTTAAAATGCTAGGTTATAAAGACTATACACTTGTTCAGTGGCAAGACTCCTGAGGGTATCCTGAGTCTTGCTGCTTGAACATACATAGGGCAGGAGAGTTAAAGAAGAAAAGCAATGTAAGCATCATTGATCATCTTCTTTATTAAGTTAAGGAATGGTCATATATATTCAAGCAGGAGGAATGTTCTAGAATTTGGAAGACTGGTACTATTATCGTTTAGCATGGCCCTTCCGGTATGATTTCAATGTAAGTGAAAACTCTAATACCTGCCTGATTGAGAAACCTTGGTAGGATTGTCCTCTTCAGTTAGGAACTTGGCCTTGTCTTTCAATCAACTTCTTCTCTTTTAAGTAATTATATTTTTGAATGTCTTATTAAGAAAACTGGTTATGTTTTTATTTCCAGGGTATAAAAGTGTTAAAGAAACTCGTTGTAGGCTGATCCTGTATTAATTAGTCTCTGATGGCTGACATTTCAGCTTAATACTCAAGCTTCACCTTCCTGCCTGTTTTTCTCCTCTAGGTGGAAGCCAATCAGAAGCTGAAGTCAGGCAGAAACAACAGCTCCAACTGATGCAATCTAAATACCAGCAAAAGGTCAGAATCTAACTCTTCAAGTTTAATTTTGGCAAGGAATCTGAGTACCAGCACTTTCAAGGAACTGAAATAATACAGTTACTTTACCCCAAGCATAAAACCTTTAAACCAGCTGCAAAAAGAAACTCTCGAAATCAAAGAAATCAGGAAGGGAGAAGTGGATAAGACTACCTAGAATTCTCATTCACACTCGCAGGACCCTCGAGTAAGGGAATGCATTTTTGTTTTTGTTCCTAGTTTAACTGTCTACTGTGTTTTGAATGTTTTGGTTCCAAGAATGTGGATTTGTTTACCCCCATGCCAGTTATGGAGGTATTAAAAAAAAATGATTTAAGACGCTCAGTGATTTTTACAATGAACACTATGAGTTTTATAATCAGGAAGATTTATCCAACCTCCTCTCTCCCAGCTGAGAAAGAGACAGAGGCAGAGAGAACGGGAGACAGAGGAAGAGAGAGAGGGACAAAGAGAGAGAGACACACTCTGAGGAAGAAAAGCAAAGAGAGAAATTTCATGGGCAAGAAATGTGTGTAGCCTGGCCATTCTCTGTGATCTAAATGGCTTGAAGTAACAACCTATAATCATGGCGAGGTATAGCACCAACAATACTGTAATTTGCCTTTCATCGTAATTTTGTGTTCCAGAGGTTCAGACTGAAAAATGGTAACTGGTTTTTGTCCTCTGTAATCTCAATGCAATTTAGCTAAAAAGAGAAGAATCTGTGAGAATCAAGAAGGAGGCTGAGGAAGCTGCAATCCGAAAAATGAAGGCAATTCAGAGAGAGAAGGTAAGATGATAGAAAGGATGATCAGCTAACATCTACTGGGCGCTTACCATGTGCCAGGTTCTTCTCTAGGCATTGTCCATATACCAACTCATTTACCCCTCACAATAAAAACAAAACAGAACAGTTGTTGTTGAGTCGATTCTAACTCATGGCGACCCCATGTGTGCCAGAGTAGAACTGTGTTCCATAGGGTTTTCAATGACAGATTTTTCAAGATGCCAGGCCTTTCTTCTGAGGCACCTCTGGCTGACTCAAATCTCCAGCCTTTCAGTTAGCAGCTGAAGGCGTTATTTGTTTGCACCGTCTAGGGACTCCACCCTCACAGTAACTCTATGGAATATATACTGTCATTACTCAGTTTTATAAGTGAGGAAATGGACACAGAAAGGGTAGATCACTACTCCAAGGGTAACCAACCAGTAAGCAGAAGGACTTGGATTTGAACCTCGGCCGACTGGTCCGAGCTGGGGCTCTTAGTCACCACACTGTCTTCTCTCTCGGGTGAGTGATCAAGGTAGTAACGGTTTTGGCCAGAAAGCAGAGCCCTGAGTAACAATGGCAATCAGTGATACACCGCCATACTTGTACCCTAACATTCCAGGATGAGTGTGGCATAGGCAGACCTGCTTCCTTTACTGATAAAAGAACATGCATTTGCATTTCAGTATTGGTGACATCATCTATCCTAAACCTCTAAGTGATGTTTTTAGTTTTGATACACTTTCTGGGGCTTGGGAAAAAATGTTTTAAAGATGCTCATCTGACAGAGAAGAATAAAGAATGTAGTGTTGTATCTGCACTCCTACTCCTGTTTTACACAAAGTCCTAAGCCGTGGTAGGTTTTAGGTATTGGAGGCTTGGGGACAGGAGTTGACTCATGATACTCATGATGCTGCAGCTATAAGTGAAGGAAACACAATTTCTTTTTTTCAATTGTATTTTAGATGAAGGTTTACAGAGCAAATTAGTTTTTCATTCAACAATACACGCATTGTTTTGTGACATTGGTTGTGAGCCCTATGACATGTCAGCACTCTCCCCTTCTCGACCTTCCCCATTACCAGCTTTCCTGTCCCCTCCTGCCTTCTCGTCCTTGCCCCTGGGCTGGTGTGCCAATTTAGTCTTGTTTTGTTTTATTGGCCTGTCTAATCTTTGGCTGAAGGGTGAACTTCAGGAGTGACTTCAGTACTGAGTTAAAAAGGTGTCCAGGGACCATACTCTCGGGTTTCTCTAGTCTCTGTCAGACCAGTAAATCTGGTCTTTTTTTGTGGGTTAGAATTCTGTTCTACATTTTTCTCCAGTTCTGTCCGAGACCCTCTGTTGTGATCCCTGTCAGAGCAGTCAGTGATAGTAGCTGGATACCATCTAGTTGTGCTAGACTCAGTCTGGTGGAGGCTGTGGTGGTTGTGGTCCTTTGGAAACAATTTCTTTTTTTTTTAAATTGTGCTTTAAGTGAAAGTTTACAATTCAAGTTAGTTTCTCATATAAAAATTTATATACACATTGTTATGTGACCCTAGTTGCTCTCCCTATACTGTGACAGCACACTCCTCCTTTTCACCCCGGATTTCCCATGTCCATTCAACCAGTTCCTGACTCTCTCTGCCTTCTCATCTCGCCTCTGGGCAGGAGCTGCCCATTTAGTCTCATGTATCTACTTGAGCTAAGAAGCACACTCTTTACGAATAACATTTTCTGTCCTATAGTCCAGTCTAATCTTTGTCTGAAGAGTTGGTCTTGGGAATGGTTTTAGTTTTGGGCTAATAGAGAGTCTGGGGGCCATGTATTCTGGGGTCCCTCCAGTCTCAGTCAAACCATTAAGTCTGGTCTTTTTACTAGAATTTAAGTTCTGCACCCCACCTTTCTCCTGCTCCATAAGGGACTGTCTATTGTGTTCCCTGTCAGGGCAGTCATTAGTGGTAGCCGGGCACCATCTACTTCTTCTGGTCTCAGGCTGATGGAGTCTCTAGTTTATGAGGCCCTTTATGTCTCTTGGGCTAATATTTTCCTTGTGTCTTTGGTGTTCTTCATTCTCCTTTACTCCAGGTGGGTTGGGACCAATTGATGCATCTTAGATGGCTGCTCGTTAGCTTTTAAGACCCCAGACGCCACTCACCAAAGTGCGATGCAGAACATTTTCTT